GGGGGGGGTATCCTGGTCCCTCGCCAGCTCTGCGTTGAGAGCAAATTGGGGGGGTTGTGGGGGGGGGGCGGGGGGGGGAAGGAATGATGCGTGTAGGCGCTGGAAGTTGGAGCTTTGCAGGGGGATGTAAGGGTTGGAAAGGGGCTGGAGGCGCAGAGCTGAGCCGTGGGAGGGTTTGGAGCGGGCTGGGGGGGTGTCTTTCCCAGCCCTGCCTCGGATCAGTGTCCCTCTTGAAGCAGGAACTTCGGGGCTTCCCTGCCTCTAGGAATAGGTGAGCGTCTCCAGCTGTAGCATCTCCAGCTGCGCGCGTGGATATCCTGGAGCTTTTCCCAGTTGCGGCTCGAACAAAGACCCAGGGCCGGCTCCTCTCCCCCCTTTTTCGGCGCGGCGAGCCGGGATAACGGCGCTGGGATGGGCTGGGATGCAGCCGAGGGGAAGGAGGGTGGAGGGGAGATGCAATGGCTGATGGAGCAAAGTCTGGGCAGATCCTCTCGTGATTCTGCCCCCTCCGAGCATCCTTGGGGCGATGACCCCCCCAAGGGACGGTGCCCTGTGAGGAGCATCTTGGGGCTGCCACCGAACCTGGGGAGAACCCGGGGAAGAACGTGGTTCCTGTTGCTGGGCGTTGAACTGCCAAGTTGCCCAAGTGGCAGGGCCTGCCATCCCCTCCTTCCCGTGGGCTCCATTTCTGACTATCCCAACTCCAAGGGGGCCGCGCAAAACCGCGTATTGTTTCCACATGTCGCTGCTTGGAGATGCCAAACAAAGAGCGAACAGGAGAGTTCTGGCCTCTCGCAGCCCCTGCTCGGCAAACACGGGCCCTTCTTGCCTTCTGAGGGCACCGGTGAGACGAAACGAGTTGTTTGCTGCCCTTCCCACTCCCCCCTCCCGGTGGGATCGGGCAATTCAAGCGTTGAGTCTCGGGCAGAGCCCAGCTGGTGTGTGCTCAGTTCCAACTGGGAGGATGGGCTGTCCAGGCCAAGGCAGGGAACGGTTTTTGCTTCACTCCCCCTTCCAAAAAACCTTTCAGCTTTAAAAGTAAAGTTCTGAGCCAGGCAAAAGGGTTTGGTGCAGGGAGTTTTATCCTCAAACGCTTCCAGCGTATCCAGGGGGTGTTTTACAGAAAAGCTTTACCTCCTGCTTAGGGATCTTGTCCATGTTATTCAGGGATCTTGCCTATGGTATATAATGATCCAAGAGCCATGGAAAAGGGAAGAGTTTTTGGCATCGGGACTGAATGGAAGAGCTACCAAAGCAGCAGCATTTTCCCTTGTGCTGCTGAGCTTCAGACTCGGCTTTTCCAGGCTTCTTCCCCCCCACCTTGCATTGCTTTTCGCAAGAACGATTCAACCTCTTATCTGAAGGAATTCCTTCAAAGCTGTGCTCTGTTTTGGGAGCTCTTTGTTCCTCCGAGTAGCCGAGCAACAAACAAATAAACACATCAATCCTTAAGTTGCTGAAAACGCAGCTTCCCTTTTGCATTGGTCGGGCTTGGGACTGTTATTTTTTTTTTCTTTTCCTGTAGCCTTGAGCTCCAACTCTTTCCTCCTCCAGCTGCAGTAAATTAATTCTGCCACCCTTCTTGTGCCTTTTGTCTCAAACACTCAGCCTGCCTGTGCTCTCTGAACTCTGCAGGGGGTTATTTAGGTGGATTTTGGGGGCAGCAAGGGACTGAATGTTTCCTCACTTAAATTATGTCGAAGGACTTGCCTCTCCTGGAAAGATTCTGTCTCTGTTAAGGGGTAATAGGTGGGTGTGACAAAGAAAAACATGGGGACAGGTAGGAGATACTGTAGATTTAGTCACATGGCAGAGAATCTCATGCCTAAAGGCACTTTTGTGTCATGGACAAATATTTCTGGTGTGTTTGCTCCTGGAACTTCTCGAGGTTTAATGAGTATCATTGAGCCACTTGTGCCTCCAGCATAATGAGCAAATCCATGTGGGGACATCTGTCCTGCCCTAATGCCCACAGGAAGCCTGTAATCCACTTCATCCCTGCTTGCAGAGGGTTCCTGTCCAATGGGATGAGTCAATTTGCCTCCTCAGGGCGGTTGCAAAGTGGAGGGTTTGGGACAGGTCACCTGAAGGGGATGAAGGAACAGAACTGGGCTTCACTCTGACATCCCACGGGGAGTTTTGGCCAAGCCATGGGAGCTCTTGGAGGGCTCAATGACTCAACAGCTGGTTCCATCCTCCTCCCCCTCTCCTAAATCCAGAGCCAGGGCCCACTGAGGAGTCCCTGCTGGGGTTTTTGACTCAGCTGGTGGCCCTGGAATCCTGTGTGGTGGCTGTGGCTGCCGCTCAGGTAACCCGGCTTTGTTGCAGGGATCATTGCCGGAGTGATGATCCTTGGAGGGTGGATGAGACACTCCAGGAAATTCCTGCTCAGGGGGTTGTGGTGTTGGCTTCCCTTCCAAAGCAGAGTCCTTTGGCTGCCCTGATGTGACATTCAGGACCTCCCACTAACCCACTTTAGTCTGTTTCTGTGAGATTATGTTTTGTTTTCTTTTCTCCTCCTTGGCTGTGGCTGCTCAAAAATCATTCTCCTGAGAACAATTGTTAGGGTTTTTTTTTTTCTCAATTTTCTTGTAGAAACCTTTTATTTTCCTGAGAGAAACAGGATCGAGAAGAACCTCAAACCTTTTATTTTTCTGAGAGAAACAGGATCGAGAAGAACCTCAAACCTTTTATTCTTCTGAGAGAAACAGGATCGAGAAGAACCTCAAACCTTTTATTTTTCTGAGAGAAACAGGATTGAGAAGAACCTCAACCCTTTTATTTTCTTGAGAGAAACAAGACTGAGAAGACCCTCAACATGTTGTTCAGTCCCACAGCAGAGTGGGACAGCTCTGAGAATTATTTATTCAAGTTATTCTTCAAAATATCTGTGACAGAGACTGCTGAGCCTCTGTGAGGCTTCACCACCTTCCCATCTTTGGGATAATATTTGAAAGGGCCTACAAAAAAAGCTGGAGAGGGACTTTTTTAGTGATAGGACAAGCAGGAATGGCTTTAAACTGAGAGAGAGTAGGTTCAGATGAGATATTAGGAAAAAAATTCTTCCCTGTGAGGGTGATGAGGCCCTGGAACAGGGAAGTTGTGGCTGCCCCATTCCTGGAAATGTTCAAGGCCAGGTTGGAGCAACCTGGGATAGTGGAAGGTGTCCCTGGGGGTTGGAATGAGATGATCTTCCAGGTTCCTTCCAACTCAAATCACTCTGTGATTCTGTGCTGATCTGTTCGTGGTGGGAGCAGGAATGATTCTGCCTTGAACTTCCCATCCTGGATCAGCCCCTGCTCTGTTTTGCATCCTGTAAATACAGAGGAGGAAGGAGGTGCCTCGTGGAAGAGCTCAAAAAATCAGAGCCCCTGAAACCTTGGGAAGAGCCCTGATCTGCCTGCAGATGTAGGTCAACAACTGCAGTGTGGGTGTGATGTTCTTGTGTGTAAAATACAGAGGAGATCAAAGTCCCTGCATCTCTGCTGAGTCCAGGCTGCTTCCACAAACATTTCCCACCCCTGAATGCTGTTTTCCAATATTTCCCCTTTCCTGAAGGATGAGGGATGGGAGCCAGCTAGTGCAGCCTAGGTGTAGGGTAAGCCATGAATATTGTGCCAGGGGAGGTTTAAATTGGATATTAGGGAAAATTTCTTCACTGAAAGGGTGGCCAAGCATTGGAATGGATGGAATCACCATCCCTGGAAGTGTTCAAAAAACCTGTAGATGCTTTGCTTAAAGACTTGGTTTAGTGGTGAACTTTGCAGTTCTGGGTTAATGGTTGGACTCAGTGATCTTAGAGGTCTTTTCCAGCCTAAGTGATTCCATGATTTAAGGGAGACCTGCCTTGGAGGAAGGCATGGAAATGAATGCTCCTGCTCCAAGTTGAAAAGCTTGGATGCACAAACTGCCCTCGTAGTGCTGTGGCTCCCTGAGCAGTGGGATGGTGCAAGTCCTTGCAGGTCTTGCTGCAATGCTGGACTTGCTCCAGCTGAGAAATCATTTCCACCAGGTGATGTAGGTCAAGTGGAGCCTGATCTTGGTGTCACAGAATCAGAGAGTATGCCCAGCTGGAAGGGACCCACAAGGATCATCGAGTCCAACTCCTGGCCCTGCACAGGCCCAGCCCCGAGAGTCCCACCCTGTGCCCAAAGGCAGGGCATGGAAAACTCGAACCCATGAGTGTGTCACACAATCATGGAAAGGTTTGGGTTGGAAGGGACCCTGAAGATCATCCAGTTCCACAGACAGGGGCACTGTGTCCATGGTGGCTGAGCTGAATAAGCCCAAATCCCAAAAACTTACCTCTGCTGTTTAGTTTTGAGTCGGCAACTGTGGCTTGAACTTGGTGCAGACAGGAGGGTGTTATAAACTACCAGACTGTGGTTGTATCCAGGCTTTAGCTGATCCTTCCAAGAGCTCAAAATATATCCCTTATGCTTGAATCTTTCACTAGGCCAGTTTATTTGGGGAAAAAAACCCCAACTGCAGGTCGATACAGGTGAAATAGCTGCGGGGGGATGCGATACGTGCCGTGTGTCGGAGGTGGTGACGACCAAGTGAGGAGATCTTCCCACCAGCCTTAACTGAGGTGTCTCTTTTCTCTTGCAGCCCACACACTCATCTGCTTTTCGTGCTCTGATGCCTCCTCCAACTGGGCCTGCCTGAAGCCTGTCAAGTGTGGGGAGAATGAGAACCACTGCGTGACGACGTACGTCGGAGTGGGACTCGGTGAGTGCCGGCAGCGCCTCCTGCCCCTCTTGGCCGCTCTCCTGGGGCACCTGCTGAAGCTGCACGAAGGCTTTTCCTTCCTTTGGCTGGGGAAAAAAAAAAAAAAAGGGAAAGTTCTGCTTAGCAACCGAGCAGTCGGACCATCCCCCGGGAATTTTGGGGAGGGACGCGCTGCCGGGAGGAGTCACGTTAAGGCCCACGTGCTGCTCCGACGCCGGAGGAGTCCGAGGGGAATTCAGGGAGGGGGTGGGGAGGTTGTGCTGATGAATAAGTGAAAGCGTGGAGGATGCTGCAGGCTTCTTCTGTGGGAAGCTCCAGGCTTGCTACTCCTGCTTTTTTTCCCCCCCTTGTGTTTGGGTTGTTCATCCCAGAGCCCCACCTGGGCTTCTTCGCTTTCCGTGGCCGAGGCAGGAAGGGACGTTTGTGTTTTTCCTCCCTGAGCGTCAGGAAAGGTTTGGGAGGCTCTGAGCTTCCCAGCTGCTGCTCTGAGAGAAGCAGGGTGCCCTGGGAGGTCTTTGCAGAGCCAAGATCCCATCCTGGCTGTGCCTTCCAGGAGGAAGGGATGTTCCATACCGGAATGGGTGGGTTGTGAACGCCTGGGAGCTTTAATAAACTCCCATCTCAGCCCAATGCTGATTATTTCCTCTTCCCTGCCCCTTCATTTGGGCTGTGCCTCTGTGGAAGTGCACACTTGGCTCCAAAGTACCTCCCTTGAACACCTAGTGCTCCTTGTCTCGCTTGAGGAGTCCCAGGGTGAAGCTGGAGTGAGATTTTTGGGATTCCTCAGCAGAGCTTTATATGAATTTTATATGAACCAGGCCCTGATAACAATGGGCTCTGTCCATTACACATCTGACACATAAACAACCCTTAGGAAGTTTATAAAGTCTGAGCTGAAAATGAGCATCAGGAAAAGGACAAAAAGAAAGCACAGAAGGGTTTTGTGTCCTCCCAGTCTCTACTGGAACAAATGGGTGCCATTACCTGCACAAGTGATGGCACAGAGCAAAGAAACAGTTTATGAGAGCACAAACCCTTCTGTCCCCAGTTAAAAGTCTCAGCTCCTGTTCAGGCTCTTCTCCCACTGATTTTGCCACTGCACATTTGTGTGGGGTCTTGTGGAAAAAATTCCTGGCCTTTTTATTTTATTTCTTTTTTTAACCAGAGAAGAGCCAAACCTTGCTTTATGATTGTTAAATTCATAACTAAACACTTGAGCCCTGTATAAATCTATTTAAGGCATTTTATTAATTGAACTGAGGCCACGGATTGCTGAGGACACCTGAAAAATTACAGGAGAGATCTGTGCTGAACCAAGTCCAGTGTTTAGTTACAGCAGAGAAACCTTAAAGGTTTTTTTCCAGTGCAAAATTTGCCCTCACACACTGATTCTTTCTAAGTCTTGTCTTAGGAATACTCCAAACCTGTCTTTAGAAACATTCTAACCTTGTCTTTAGAAACACTTTAAACTTGTCTTGGAAACACTTTAAACCTGTCTTTAGGCACATTCTAACCTTGTCTTTACAAACACTCTAAACTTGTCTTGGGAACGCTCTAGACCTGTCTTGGGAACACTCTTTGTCTTTAGAAACACTCTAAACCTGTGTCTTGGAAACACTCTAAACTGTCTGGAAAAAAACTGTAAACTGTCTTGAAAACACTCTAAAACTGTCTTTAGAAACACTCTAAACTTGTGTCTTAAAAACACTTTAAAACTTAGTCTTTGGAAACACTCTAAACCTGTGTCTTGGAAACACTCTAAACCTGTGTCTTGGAAACACTCTAAACCTGTGTCTTGGAAACACTCTAAACCTGTGTCTTGGAAACACTCTAAACCTGTGTCTTGGAAACACTGTAAACCTGTGTCTTTGAAACACTCTAAACCTGTCCTTAGAAACGCTCTAAAATTGCCTTTAGAAATGCTCCAAACTTGTCTTGGAAACGCTCTAAACTTGTCTTGGAAACGCTCTAAACTTGTCTTGGAAACGCTCTAAACTTGTCTTCAGAAAAACTCTAAACCCGTCTTGGAAACGCTCTAAACCTCTCTTATTTTCTTCCTTCCCACCCCACCCCAAATCCAGGCGGCAAATCCGGCCAGTCCATCTCCAAGGGCTGCTCCCCCATCTGCCCCAGCGCCGGGATCAACCTGGGAATCGCGGCCGCCTCCGTCTACTGCTGCGATTCCTTCCTGTGCAACATCAGCGGCTCCAGCGGCGTCCGGGCCAGTTCCACCCTCCTGGCCCTGGGGATCCTCGTGAGCTTCTTCTTCGTCCTCCGGGCTCGAGAGTGACGGGGTTGGCCGAGGCAGAGCCACCTCCTGGAGGCCCCCTCATGGGTCTCACCAGCCAATATCTTCTCTGTCGCTGTCTGCAAGGAGATCCTCCACTTCTCAGCGGGCTTCCGAGGCCGTCGTTTCCCAGACTTTCTGCTCTTCCAAGCGTCGGAGCCGTGGGCGGTTCAGCCGAGCTGTTTTCTCTCTCTCTCTCTCTTCCCGTGGACAAACCCCGCTGCGTCCTCGCACCTCCTTGGCCAAGGTGGATCGTTTTGGAAGGGTTTTCTGCTTTTCTACCTAATAAATAACCTCCCCCCTCGTTTCTAAGGTCGGTTAAAAGCAGGCTGGGACTCGCCAAGATTAACCCCCCACAGCACCACCAGGTGAAGAGCTCAGACTTTCCTGCCTCTCTCCTGGCTCCAGCACGTGGGTGGCACCACGGGCTTTGGGAATGCATGATCCAAAGGGAGACACATTCCTGGCCCCCCCTCCCACCCCCTTGCAGCTGCAGTCTGTCTTTTTATAGAATAATTTCGTTTCTTCTGAATCCTGGGCTGACTTTTTCTGGAAAAAGAGTGACCTGTACCTTGTCCTTCTCAGCTCTGTAAGTGCCAGACCTGAATAAACATGCTCCTGTTGGTACCTACGGTGGGATGTGTGCTGTGTTTCCTTGCCCCAGGCAGAGATTAGGAATTCTCTTATGGAAAATCCAAACCTTTGGGCCTCTCACCCTCCTGAGCAGCTTTTGAGAGCTTCATTTCAACGTTCCCTTTCACCTCTGAGCAGCAAGTGCATCTCTCCTCCCTGTTGCTGTCCTTGCTGATTAACCCTCCTGGGCCTGCTTGCCTCAGCTCTCTCGGGAATCGCTTTTTCCAGGTGAATTTTATTGAAAAAATGCCAGGTTTTGAGGGCTGAATCAACCCCAGTGGAGCAAACACAGCAGGAGCAGGACCTCTGGAAGTTCATCTGCATCTTACAAAGACTTGGTGCCTCAGTTTCCCCAACTTTGGACTTGTGATGGTGAGAGACAACAACGCGGATCCCTAAAAGAACCGGGTCTGTCTGCAAAATTCAGTGGAGTCACAGGCCAAGATCCCAATATTCAGATCTCTGGACTTGACCTTCAATGCCTGATGGTGCACATGGACCTACTGGGGGTGACTTCATCTTTCCTGCTGTCCCCTCAGCTCCCAGGATCTTCCCAGCATTGCTCCTGGAAGTTCTGAGCTGTCCCACGGGAGATTTGTCCTCCTGCCATCTCTGTGTCATCCGTCCTGCCTGCTTTGCTCACCTGTGGACCTGCCAGATGCAAAACCAAGCCAAAATTCAGCCTTAAAGTTCCAGTTGAAAGCTTGTTGTCACTTCCACTGGTTGATCAGAGGTGCACTGGGGTTTTTTTTTCTTCTTTCTAGCAGCAAAAATCAGGTGGTTGGCGCTCCTTGGCCCTGCCTTCCTTGTGGTTCTCCTGTTTTGTGTCAAAATCCAACCTAAAGCTCCACACACTGTTCAATTTTATCTCTGTCCCCTCTTAAATGAGTTGCTAAACAGCTTCTTTTGAAAGATGGTGTAGAAATATTGGCAGCAGAGGTGGTTCCATGGTTTTTAACCCCTCCTTCCCCCCGTGTTTTAATTAAATGACATGTGTTAATGACAGGCTTCCCGACAGGAGGGACCGGTCGTGAGGATGTGACCTGCAATTAATGAGGAGTTTGGGAAGGATGAATCACATGTGTGGGTCCTCAGATGTGCCTTCCTCTGGGTCAATCATCCTCCCTCACCTCCTGGGACCTGCTGGGGCCATGGGGCCCCACAAACCTCTGCTATGCACGTGGAGCACAGGGAAAACTGGGGAAAAACTTCCTAAAAATAAGGTGAACGTTCCCCAGCTTCCCTGTGCCTCGGCCTTCCTCCCAGGAGGGTTCCAAACCTCCTTGCTTGGGTTAATTTGTTCCTCAGCACTTGGCTGTGACACCGAGGTGGCACCCAGGGTGCTCTGCCTTGAAATGATGGGGCTGTGACTCTTTTCTGGCCACCTGATAACAGGTTTGGGGGTCGATTTTGGACTTAAAACGCCTCTAAGAAAGAGCTAAACTTCAAGCCATGAGCACAGCTGTGTCCTAAAGCCTGGCCAGTCCTTTAGGAGGCTCCTGAAGGTGCCAAACTGGACAAACCTGAAGCCACAAGATCTGGTTGTCTCTTCCAAAAGCCATTTCCTTCCTATCTCAGCGTTCCAGGGGCTGCCGGTGCCAAGGATTTGGTTCTGAAGGGGGGCAAAGGCTGGTGGGAGGAGCATTCAGAGGCTGCTTATCCCATAAAATAACAATTTATATTAATGACATTGCCAGGGGACAGAGCTGAAGGTCGTTCACTAGTGGTTTTGAGCTATAAATGATGGATAAATTGCATATTTTGGAGATTTGTTTTCCCTCTTCGCTCCCTTTCTGTCTGCCCTCCTCATGTGCTGTAATCCTTATGGAAAAAAGAGATATTTTCAGTTTTGAACACATGTGCAAAGATCTCTTTGACAGATTAAAGTATGTTTGAGAGAGGGAGGGTGTGACAGCTCATCACAGTTTAATCCTGAGCATTTTATCACCAATTCTTCCAAACCTCCCATTTTCTGCTCCTGCCACAGAGGGTTTTTTTTGCCCCCAAAATCCCCAGAATGAGAATCCATGTGAGAACCTCAGCTGTTGTAAAGCCCAGGAGGGGAAAAAGGCCTGAAAATGGGCAGCTGAAGTGATTAAAAACATTAATAATAAGACAATAAACAGGAAGAACCCGGCGTTTATAAAGTGATAAAACCTGTGGGTTGATGAACCAAGTGCCGGATTTGGAACTTGAGGGCCGTGGTGGGACAGCCCTGAAGTGCTTTGGAGGTGTTTATGTGGACTTTGGAATTAAGAGACAGAAATCTGAGCGGAAAACTCGGATATTCACCTCTTCCTACAGGACAAGAGGTTACGAGGGGAGGCAGCTTTGCTCCCTAGAAGCCTAAAATATCCTGGAATAGTTTTTACTGGAAAAGAAGAACAGCTTAAATGAAATACCTGCCCGTTTTGGAGCATGTTCATGAGAGAAAATGGGTTCAGTGCTTCCATGCTGGAAATGGCTGTATTTCAACAACCATCTACCACCAAGGGCTCTAATTTTTTTTTTTTTTTGGTGTATTGTCCAAAAAAAACCACTCAGAATTTATTGTGGCATCAGCCCTTTCCACCCGAATTCTGGGTGTTTGCTGTTCGCCAAGAAAGAAGGACTTTAAAATGAACCGAGTTCTTCCAGGTTTTTTTAAGAATTGTGGGTTGTTTTTGTTGTTTTTTTAAAGGGCAAAATGTCTTCTTTTGGAAAAGACAAACCTGAGGTGGGGGAATTGTACAAACAGAAGGAATGATGTTTAATTATTACTCCAAGGATCCACCTCGTTACTCCAAGAATGTTCTTTCTCGGTGTTGATTTACTCCGGTTGGGGGTTCTTTGAAGGGATTTCTCTCCCAGGGACCTTATTTTCCACAGAAGAGTCTTTGATTCCATCACCCCTGTGGGAGGCCTGGTAGCTCTGTCTGGTGTCTGTGTGTCCATGGAATGAGTTCTGGGCGTCTGTGCCCTCTGGGAAAGGCAGATGTGCTGCACATCTGGATATGTGGAGGTTTAGGGTCCTCAGTGGGGCAGCGCTGTGGGTCTCGGGATGCTCGGGATGAAAGTGGCTCTGAGTCCTTCCTTGATCCTGAAGGAGTTGTTTCACCCCTGGAATGGGATCTGAGCTGGAATGGGATCACAACCCCCCAATCTGACGTTTTGGGAACCCAGGGAAGTGAAGCCTTGGGTTGGTCCTGCCATCTGCTGGTTCTTCCCAGACTCGGGAGAGGAGCTTTGAAGCCCCAAACTCAGAAATCAAGGAGGAAGAGCTGCCTTTAACCAAATAACTGCACAAAAAGCAGAGAATCAACAACATCAGAGACAGATTAAAGGTTTTAATTCCTCCAGCTTTGCTCTGATAGTGAAAATTGAGAAATAAAAGGCTTAACAGGCTTCCCAGGTCCAATATTTTCCAAGGGAATGCTTTTTTTTTTTTTTCCCCCAGCCCAAATCTTATTGTTTCATCAAAACTAAATAAGCCAATAAAGTGTTGCTGAAAAAAAAAATTCAAAATATTGATACCTTTTATTTCAGCTTTGTTGGATGATCTGGTTTCACTGGGATGGTTCCACTGAGACGTTGGTTTTACTAATCCATAGGTGTGAGATTTGTAACTGTGTATTACCTTTGTTGTAACAGAATAAGCAGGATAAAGCAGCATCAATTCCTTTAAATATATTAATGTAAGTACAAGTGGAGTGTATGTCACATATTGTTTCTTATATTCTAATAAAAAAAATATATGGAATTAATAAAAAAGAGACACTTGGAGCAAAGTCTTTGGCTGATTCTGTGGATATTGCAGATGTTATTCCTTGTTTTGGGTGAAGGGAAAGTGCTTGGATGGGATTCAAAGCTGGGTCAAAAGGACAGACATGAGGCTGAGCCTCTGGAATATAGGAGGGATAAATCCATCCATGTCATCTCAAGGCCTTTGGAATCTCTTCCTGTGATGGATAAAGAACAGGGATTGTCTTTGCCTTCAATAGCTCATAAATATCCTTGACTTTTCTGTGACCCTGCCGGGAAGGGGGATGAGATTTGTCCTTGGAGCTCTTGTTGGAAAGGGAGGATATTTTGGGCACAGAATGGCCCCTGGGTGGGTGTCTGGGGGGCAGCTGCTCCTCTTCCTGCACTCCCGGGGTTTGCAGGGATTGCTCCAACCCCGCTCCTGCCTGTGGACAGATGGACACAGGGACACACAGACATGGAGCTCGGGAGACCCCCCTGCTGTCCCAAGCCAGGGACGTTCACAGTGCATTGTAAGGATGGCTCACTGGAATTTGTGTTTAAAATTTTAAAAATTATTTTATTGTTTTATTATTTTATATATTATTATATATTTTTATACATGATATGTACTATATATGATATAGTATCTATTTTTACATGCACTCAATAATACATATTTTATATGATATAGTATATATAATATATTATATATACTATTTTATACACATTATATGATATTATTTATTCATTAATAGTTTACCACATTATTTATTATTAATGTATTTATATTATTTATAGAATATATTATATATCATATATAATATATAGCATATATATTATATATTATATATTATATATCATATTATATAATATATATTATTTTGTATATAACATATAAATATATATTTTATATACAAAATATATATTATCTAGTACTAGTATATATTATATATATTACATGATATTATTTATTATTTACTTATATTTTATTTATTCTATTATTTATAAATTACATGTTATTTATATGGTATATATAATATAAACCATATATATTATATATTACTATATTACATTTTTATATATTATATATATAATCAGATATATAATATATATTATATATTATATATATTAAATATTGTGTATTGTATATATTATATATTACTATATATATGTATATTATATTTATATATTACTATATATGTATATTATATATATGGTATATTACTATATCACATTTATATATATTTTATATATATATTTTATACATATATATATATAAATATATATATATAAATATATATATTTATGTATATATACTTTTTGAGAGCCTGGTTGGATCCCATGGGAGAAAGGGATTATATTCCTTGAGGAATGTGAGACAAACAGAGACTAACAGTGATGGGCTCAGGGGTTCTTTAGGAACAACAAAAGGCTGTTTGAAACAAAGATAATAAAAATACCTTTCCTTCTCTGGATAAACCCGGCCTGGACACTTCCTGGGAAAGGGTCTTCTCCACTGCCCTCCTTCCTTGCAATCCATATTTGCAAGGGATTTTGGGGATGGGAGGCAGCAGTGATGACAGGGAATATTTTGGGGACTGGAGGACATTGCACAGCAGGGGGTCACAGAAAAACCCCACTCTTGAGAGGCTGCACCTCCCTCCTCCCTGGAATTCCCAACATTTCTTCTCACATTGCTCCTGATACTCCCCGAGGACCTGCCTGCATCTGGACAGGCCTGGGATGGGCTCTCCCACATTCCAGGTGTTCAGAAAATCCAGGAAAATGGTCCCAACGTCTCCAAATCCAAGAGGGGACCTTATTAATGTTTTGACAAAGAGATTCTGGAGCTGCTTCCTTCCTTCAGGTCCATATTTCCAGGTGAGCCTTGTTAAGAGATGTCAAATGGCTGGAATTGTTTCTGAGAACTATTCCCAGTGTTTCTCTTCCAGTTGGCTCTGGAAGAGATGCTTCTCCTTGGTATCCTGAGGTTGTGTTGATCGTCTCAGGGTGTGAGACACCAGCAAATGAGTCCAAAGTGGGAGAATTCTTGCCTTCCCATCAGAGAATCATGGAATGGTTTGGGTTGGAAGGGAACTTAAAGATCATCTTGTTCCAACCTCCCTGCCATGGGCAGGGGCACCTCCCACTATCCCAGGTTGATCCAAGTCCCATCCAACCTGGCCTGGAACACTTCCAGGGATGAGGCAGCCACAGCTTCGCTGGGAATTCCATTCCGGCCCCTCACCACCCTCCTAGCCAAGAATTCCTTCCCAATATCCCATCTAACCCTGCCCTCTGGCAGTGGGAAGCCATTCCCTGTGTCCTGTCCCTCCATTCCTTGTCCCAAGTCCCTTTCCAGCTCTCCTGGAGCCCCTTTAGGCCCTGGAAGTTCTCCCTGGAGCCTTTTCTTCTCCAGGCTGGACATTCCCATCTCTCCCAACCTGTCTCCAGAGCAGAGGTGCTGCCGCCTTTTGATCATCTTCATGGCTTCCTCTGGTCCCATTCCAACATGTCCACATCATTCCTGTGCTGAGGAATCCAGCCTGGATGCAACAATCCTGGTGGGATCTCATGAGGGCAGAGTAGAGGGGTTAATTCCCACCCTTTATTGTCCCTCTGGACATGCCTCCCCTCTAACCATGGCAAATACAGGTTTTGGAGGAAGAAATAGCACTGGAGCCAGAGAATAATCTCCAGAAAGGTGATTCATTGGGAATTTTTGACGTGGAGGAGTCAGGAAAAGCGCGTGGGTGGAGAATTTGCAATTTAAAATCGGAGCGATGCTGAGGGAAGGCAAAAAAATGACTGAACCGAGAGCTCCACCTTCCTGCCGGCGCCGACCCTCTCCTCCTTCTGTCCTCCTGCTTCCCCTGCTTCCCACTTCATGGCTTTTGAGGGCCACACGAGACATCATGAAGGGGCAAAAGGGTGAAGATGGCAACTCCAGGTGCAACGGAGGAGGCTGGAAAGGTGGGAAGTGCTTTGCACGGCCGTGGGAGCATGTTCCAACCTTCCCGCTTGTCATCTCCCGAGGAAAAGAGATTTAAAACCTTGCACAACATACCTTGGCCTCCTTGGGTTTGGAGATCTGACCCTTCCTGGGATACATGGACACTTGGCCAGTTCTGATGTCACTGTGACTCCGGTACCTTCATGTAGAAGGAATTAAAGTTGCAGGAGTGGAACGTAACATTTACAGCATCGAACTCACAGAGGAAGAGGTGTGAGGAGCATCAAATTCCTGGAGGAAGAGGTGTGAGGAGCATCAAATTCCTGGAGGAAGAGCTGTGAGGAGCATCAAACTCCTGGGGGAGTGATGCAAGTAGCACCTTGCTCTCCTTCTCCACTCCAGTTAACACCGCTAACAACTGGGTGGATCCTGTTTCACACACATTCCTGTGACATTCCTGTCACTCCTGCATCTCCCAGAGCCAAGTCCTGTGTTTTTCCGTAGGTTCCAAGGTCTCCTGGCTCACGTCGTGTCTCTCATTGCTCAAATTGCGGGGATGTGGTGACCCTTTCTCGCTCCAGAGTCCGAGTTTCACCCCAAAGCTCCTTGCTGAGCTCAGACCTGTTAAACCTGCTGGGTCCAGCCCCCATTTGGTATCACATTTCAAAATATTAGA